TCTCTTAAGATTTTTGCATTGATTAACTGCATGTAGTGCAGGCCAAATATATACATTTTTATATTGTCTTAAATGTTTGTGTGCATGCAAAGACATTGGACTGAAAACTGCTGCTTCACAGCAAATAATAACAAACATGATTTGCTATCGCCACCGAGGTCTTGTCATTACGTGCCCGTTGTTGCCTAAGAGTCTGATTCATTTACAGAATGTTTTCCGCTCAGGGCATCAGAGGAATAGGAATTACATGAAAAGACCTTACAGAGGGCCGCTGCTTTCTGTAGGTGGTATAATGCAATCAATAGGCTTTTATTTTAAAGATACCTCTGCTTGTGGGCTGCCTCTTCAAAGTGCCAGACATAAAATTGGTGCAGTCAGGATTAGTGGAGCTTAACATGTTGCTATCTCCCTGGAGATATTTGATAGAACAAAGCCATTCACCGGTTAAATGAGACAATAAAAAATCCTCCAGGATTTCACTTCTTTCAACGCCTCCCAGTAGTCCGAATGTTCCATCTCATCCATGTTTTTGTTATAAAATAATGCATCGCTAATAATAAAATGAGAGGACGTGGCAAAATTGGCTGGGTGCAAACACATAATTAGCCTTTTTAAAGGGGTAGAAACACGCCTGTGTCGCCTTGTTTCATGCCTAAAAATTGCCTTAAAAAAGATTTTAAAGTAAACATATTTTGCTTCCAGTAAACATTATGCAGTAATGAATAATCTCCTGAGTGGCACTGCGTGATTTTACTTAGTTTGTTACTATTTTTGTGACTGTTTAAGATTTGGTTTAGCTTTAGGCAGACAGGCATCTTAGTTAAGCTTAGAAAAAGATAACGATTTGGGACCCTTTACAGCAGCTGCCACATTAGAAGCTTCTCTTCCATTTTCTGGGTTACCACGGTGAGGAATCCAACCCTATTTAATACAGGACTGGTTGCCTGATAAGGAGCAATAATGGAAAAGCAAAGAAAAGATATGTTGATTACATCACATGACACGTAATCTGGGAGAAAATAAGTTGCCTTTGCGAGATAATGAGTTTGCAGTTACAGCCCTTCCTGAAGATGAATGTTTAACCATATGAGGTGGTAGGTAGGCTATAATGTGTACTCTTTATATATTAAATTATTTATCAGTGCAACAAATTTGGACTAGTTCTACCTCATCAAGAAACAAACTTTGTGACATTAGTGTTTATGTACCTATGCAGCAATATGACCTTTTATTCATATGATGGACAAACACATGAGCACTATTAGTTGACCTGTTCATTCATAATAATTGCTGCTTCTATACAGCAACCTTTATTGGCTCCTTTAATAGGTGAGTTATAACCCCTAAAATGACAGTTCCCTGCTGTCTGATTTACGGTGACTGTAAATAGCTTAATGTAAATGTTGACACAAAGTTAATTGCCACAGCTTCACAAATCACCTTCCTCTGTGCACGGTACCAATTAAAATCCGACATGTTGTACAGGCAGTGGCAGCTAATGGCATTATGATCTATATTACCAGCTGAGGCTCCTGTAGCATTGCCTGTGGGAGTAAAGTCGACAGTCTAATTTAACAGCTTTCAACTTCCTTCATCTTGAGGTGACTATAAACTACAAATTTACTCTTACTTTTCATCAAGTTCCAGCCACAATATGTCATGCTTTAATTGTCCTTTCAGGATGTTTTACCTTTTTATATGTCATGTTTTTGGGGGCTTTGGTCTTTTTTCCCACATAGGATTATCAAATCTTATTATGGTATCCCGTGGATATGGGATTATAGGGAATCTCAAGTCCGCTTATAATGTATATGCTGCATAGTAGCAGTTTGTAAGAGGAGCATGTACATTGAGAGGTACAACCAAGTGGCTGGGCTATGTTTAGAAATATCTGTGATGCATGGACTATAGATTGCCAAGTCCTGATTGGAGACACCACCAAAGGTGGGTGAGAACAATAGGGCTAGGGTCTTCTTCAAGACAGGCAACCACCTGCTGGACGACAGGGACACATACTGATGGTTGATGAAGAGTAGAAGACCAACGTTTTGATAGAGGTGGCAATCACAGAGGACAGCAACATCAGGAAAAAACAGCATGAGAAAATAGGCAAGTACCAGGAGCTGAGAGATGTGAAGTCCAATAGGACTCCAATAAGAATTGAGTGGTTCCAGCAGATTCCTGGCACAACATCGGAGGTCTCTGTCTAGCAAAATATCCATCCATCCTGTTCTCCTTATCCTTTGTCAGGGTTGCTAGGGGGCTGGGCCTATCTCACCTACCATAGGGCCAGAGGTGGGGTACACCCTGGACAGGTTGTCATTCTGTGGCAGTGCTAACACAAAGAGACAGACAACCATTTGCACTCACATTCACACCTGTGGGCAATTTAGAATATACCAGGAGCTGAAAAGAGATAAAGAGATAAAGCACAGTGTGTGAAATATACCATAATTACATAAATTGCTTTATATATTGTGCAGTATAAGTGATACATGTTCAAAATGTCTGTAAAGAAGAGAATAAGAATAACCTGGTTGCACTCTCTCCATAACTAACTCGCATAGGAATTTCAAATGTTGCTCTTAAAGTGGATGGGGGTTTTAATCTAATGAAAATGCTGATGATGAATGACAGACGCGCTTCTCTTTTCCCTGAGGGATGATGAAGGAGCCTAGGTGGGAAGGACTCTCGAGGAGGAGAATGAGGAAGAGTAACCGCTGGCTGTGACAGTGACAGTTGCTCCTCTCCTCCATCCCCTCCTTCAACTTCATCATCAGCACCAGCATCATCATCACCCGCCTCGGCAACAGCAGCTTCAGCTTCATCAGAGGCAGAAGGAGTGTCCGTCGAGAGAGTGGAGAACGAAAAACCCAAGCAGCACGCATCTTTATTTTAAAAAAAAAAAGACAAAAAAAGAAAAGGTGCTCCACTTGAGACGGAAGATGGAGAAATGGCAGTTGCAGATGAGCGAATGTAAGGACCAAGAAATTCGACAAAATCTTCTTTTATGACAAAAACCCGGATCCGTGCAACAGTAGGAACTATTTAAGGAACAAAAAGGTAAGACGTTCACCGATAACATGTTTTCCTCTCTCTAAGTTGGCGCTATAATGGCTCACATAGGAGCTTGTCAAAATACAGGTATCTAAATATACATTTAACCAGATTTCAACGAGATTGAATGACATGAAAAAAAAAATGTGGCATTTAAGATAGTCTACTATCTTAAATAATTATCGGTTTGAAAACACGTTCTTATCAAATTTTTTCGTACATCGGTGGAAAATAAATCGCTTTAATTGGTTTGGCCGGCTAAAAATACGCTGTTAAGTAATGAATGTCCTGTAGGTGTTAGAAAGCATTGTTTTAAGCTTTAGGTTTTTTAATACCGTATATACGTGTGAATTGTGTTAATTATCAGTAATGAAGTTATATTCATCTATATTTCAAAAAGGAGGAGCAAGAGGAGGAGAGACGGAAAATAAGAGTACCTATCTGCCCCCTTGTGGCTTTGATGTGCTGTGTATTGCCCAAATGAAAGCTGCAGTAGCAATAAATTTTAGAGTTAAGAAAAAAAACAAACATCAGAGGCACTACTTTATACTCACAGTATATATAAATATATTTAGGCTTTACACTTTGAAAATTATATTTTATAATGAATATTAATAATCAGCAAGGCTATTGAAGCTAAATCCTTGTGCTGTATAAAACAAAGTAGAAAAGGTTCAAACTCTTCCCCTCCATTTAACCCTTTCACACACACCGACATAGCTACAGGATTTGCTTATTTATGGTGTGCAGTTCCATTCAGCTCATAAGTGGCCCACATTCATATATCATCCCCTGGTGGATCCCTGTTATGTAATTTCATCCCCATCAGACTGCATCAGCCTCACAATGTTTGCTGCTTGGCTTATATGAGCTCACACGGGATATACACAGCCTACATACACAGAGGCAATGTAACACAAGTGTAAATCTAGGAAGGGTAAAAGGTAACGGCGACGAGGTAACGTGAGAGATTTTTGTTGTGTGTCAGCACATGTGTATTTTGGATACATGTGAGTGTGGCGGTTTGGATACTGAGAGATAAATTATGCAAACCTCTAAACTAAGTCCAAATATTTGACGGCACTTTGGTTGCTGTTACACTGTAATGGATTTCACTTCATTTTTCAGATTGCCCCATTTGACGCCCATACAACATGGATATATCTTCATCTTCGCTTCAGTACGGATCAAAAAAGCGGGTCAAGATTCACCCCAACACAGTGACGGTGAAATATGCCACTCACTTCCCTCAGCCTGGAGATGAGGGCTATGACGATGCACCCTCTTTTGAGGACTTTGGCTCCTTTGCTGAAGCCAATGTGGGGAAGAGACTGGTGTCAGATAGCAAAGGTGGCAGGACTTTCTTTGGAACCATGGAAACCCAACCTAAGCAGCCAAGTGTGCAAAGAGACAAGGGCGTTGAGGGGCAGCTGGCCAGCTTTGGCGAGGCGAATGTGTTGGCCTCCAGGGTGACCTGGATGGCCTTGTTTGGGGCAGCAGTTGCTCATGGCTGTGTGGCATTGATTACTCGTTTAGCAGCTGACCGTTCCAAAGTTCCTTCTCTTGAGCTACTATTCATTCGCTCGGTGATCCAAGTGCTGTCCATCCTGGTGGTCTTCTACTACCACGAAGCCCCCTTTGGCCCCAAGGGCTATCGACTGCGTCTCTTCTTTTACGGTGTCTGCAACGTAATCTCAATCACCTGCGCTTACACATCCTTTGCCATAGTACCACCTAGCAATGGCACTATCATGTGGCGTGCCTCCACCACAGTCTTCAGTGCAGTTCTAGCCTTCCTGCTGCTGGATGAGAGGCTGGGCTATACTGATGTAGTCACAGTGGTAGGAAGCGTGTTTGGCTTGTGCCTGGTTATGGTGCCAAATGTAGCAGATGAGGAGAAGTCCAGGCTGGGGTTTTGGAAGGAGGCCTTTGGCTACACAATGACAGTGATGGCCGGCATGACTGCTGCCCTCTCCATGATCGTCTACAGGGCCATTAAGGAGCGGGTCAGCATGTGGACCGCACTCTTTACCTTCGGCTGGACGGGCACAGTTTGGGGCGCCTCCACCATGTTTATCATGCAGGAGCCTATCATTCCTCTGGATGCGGAGACCTGGGGTTATTTAATTGGGATTTGTATCTGCTCCACTGTGGCATTTCTCGGAGTCTACTATGCTCTAAATAAGTTTCATCCAGCCTTAGTGAGCACCGTGCAGCACCTGGAGATTGTGGTTGCCATGTTTCTTCAGCTCATCGTTCTGAGGATGATCCCCTCTGTCTATGACGTCATCGGGGGCCTAGTCATCATGATTAGTGTGTTTACTCTGACTGGAGTCAAGCTGTACAGGGTGAGCAGAGCCATTCGGCAGGATTACCAAGAGATCCTGGACTCACCCATCAAATGAATTTAGATGTCAGTCTAATTGTTTACGATGTTGCTTGGTTGTACAATTCAGAGAATGTCTGGGTCGTCATCTGATGATTTTGTATTGTTGTGTTGTCAAATGAGTGCCAGTTGTGTAACTAATAAAAAATGGTGTCTTAATATTTGTGTGGGAAATAATAATAATAAAAAAGGCAGATATAACATGGTGACGACTTTGCCCCAGTAGTATTGCTTTAATGTCTACTCAGTTGTGTGACTGGCCAAAATGTTGGGCGTGAAAATGATCTGTTTGGTTTGTGTGCTTTACCACGCTCCAAGATTTGAAATCAAATTGACCACGTGGGATCTGGTCTTGTGAATGTCAATGTAAAATCAGCAAAGATGTATCTCTGTAAATGTCAGCCCAGAGATGGGTCACGCTACATAAAAGGAATAAAATAAGAACTTTAAAAACAGCCCAACCTTTTATAAAAAACAAAACAAAAACAAAAAAACAACTGGTATTTATTTGTGTGGCTCTTAAGCTGTTGCTTTCCAAGACAGTATCATTTCTTCAAAGAAACAATTACAGATGAGCCAGCGAAGCTACAAAGTAGAATATAATGTCCTTTATGTGATAGGCTGCAGGCTGTGGCATTATGTGAGATTGTTCTTATTAAATCTAAATTGAACATCACAAACAGACTCCAAATTTACTGGAGGTCAAATGTGACTTTGAAAAATAAAAGGTCTTGTCTATAATTCCTTATATTTTGTGCACAAACTGTTGTTTTGTTGTTGCTGCTCCCAATCACGTATGCTCTGGCCCCGGCGCCTAGTTGATATTTAACACTGGCGATTATAACCCTGGATTCTGCTTCTGTTTATTGTCAGATGCATATCAAACTAATGCCCAGAGGCAGGTGCACCATATTGAATTAGAGTTGCCTTTTGACAGCGTGAGACCATTTGCTTTTTCTGTAGTGGGTGATTCAGTGTATCACCAGTGACGTCTCCTTTTCTCTGTTGAGAAAAACCAAGCCCACTTGAGCTCTAGGTTTCCCCAAGGCAAAGCAACAGCAATGGAATGAAATAAGAACAAAATGAGGATGCAGAGTGGATGAAAAGAGGGGATGATGCTTGCTCACAGCTGACACAAACGCATGATTCACTGATAGCCCAGCAGGTGGCATTCAGGATCCACTTCATTTAGACTGCTAGAGCTAGGAAATTATTTTACTTCAGAAAGCCAGGAAGCGAATGTTTTGTGTATGCAGTAGAAATGGAAGCGTATTGATGGAGCAAATTGATCTGAGACTGTACACACCTGATGACAATCTATTGAATAATAACCTTATTTGCACACAAATAGATAATAAATGTCATGGGACCAGTAATATACCCTTATTACAGCAACAATATAGGCAGTAAATCAAATCTGCCTGTGTAATGACAGTCTACTACTATTGAATAATACAAAATGACTAAAACAACAAGCTAGATCCATTTGCAGAGAAAATGTGGACAAAATCTTTCTCAAGCTAATAAGAAAGTGACTCAAAACACATTCCAGCATGCCATATTTTATTTTAAACAGTCCAATTTATATTAAAAAGTGAATAGCAGTATTAGGTGGAGTTTATAATCCACTATACATGCAGTATTATAGTCTAGTTTTGGGTGCAGATCACAGAATACATGTAGGGCAGGCCCATCTGTTTGAGCAGGAAACAGATTGCATCCTGCAGCGAGTTGCACAGCCTTCCAAATTACTCTGCAAGTCTCTTCACCACAGACACGTTTAATAGATGTATCATCATTTCACATGTGGAGCCCGAATGGGATTGGATGACGAGTTATTTTATGTAGATTCGTTTTGTGTATCGCACGGTTGGTGATGACTGGGCACTTCTTTGAAATGCTTATTAATGCTGAGAAAACTACCGTTGTCATATACTAAAAACACGTAGGCAGCATTTAACGCAATGCTTGCTGAAGGGCAAGCTTGCACTTTTTATGTATTTTATTTGAGCAAGTACAGTACAGAACATCAATTTCTTACTAGCCTAAATTTTGGGTCTTGTGCTAAAATCCCACTCACTGCGTATCTTTCTTTTAGATACCAAAACATTAAACAGTACGTGATGCGATAACCAGACTCACTTTTCATCTCTCTTTTCATACACACGTCTATCAATGGTAGAGATTTGATCGATTCTTTACCCTCACATAGACGAAAACATGACGAATGCTTAGGGGAAAGCAAAGCACCAGCAGCTGCAGTGGGATTAACGGACAGTGTCTTTGTCCAATCACAAAGTCCCAATTCTCTCTCAGCCAATCGTGTGGCAGCAGGCGGGACCCAGAGAGCGTCTGAACTGCTTGTGTAGCTGCTAGTTAGCTTAGCCGTGCTGCTGAGCGATGACATGCATTGATGCAGAAATGCTATTCCAACGGGGCACGGCGTCTCGTCAGCTAGGCTAGCGTCTTGGAGTGGGGGAAAAAAAGAAAAAAAAACCTGGCTGCTTAGCTAGGATTCTGGATGCAGTTTCTGTGCATCTTCGGCTGCTGTGTGTAACCCTTTAACATATTTCCAAAAGGACATAAGAAGAGGTGGCCGTCAGGAATCAGGTAAGACCTGGTATGACTAGAGCAGGGTATGAATCTGAGCTGCCGCTGATGGTGAAGCTCTGTGATACAGACTGCAGCACTAACGGTTCTCCAGCGTTAAAGCTCACGCAAGCTAACAGCTAAACGTTAACCTAGACTGAAAAAGAAAAGGAGAGAGAGAGAAAAACACCTAATGCCCATGCCAGCATGGCCAGCATACAGACGGTTAGTCTGGCTGTAACCACTAAAAGCATATGGGGTAAATTTTCTTAGCCAGGTTAATGTTAGCCGTTTTAGCGTGACACGCTGTCAAGCTCAGGTTATAAGGTAAAAACTCCACCAAAACTGCTACACATCTTTATCATCTTTATTCTTCTTTTCGTTCAAGCGGGCACCGCGTAAACACTTCAATTTGTAAGACTGACAATTAAATGAAGCCACAGTGATGTTAAACCGTTTGATCCAATTTACAGTTTATACTTAAATTCAGCTTTATTTTTTTCTTATTATATCTCAGGATTACGTTTTTTAATTGCGTACTGAGTTGAACTCGCTTGGTCGTGGTCACGATGTGCATCACTGATATTGGGGTTTGCCTCAAGTAGCCATAATTAGTCATAGTTGGTCCATCACCTCTATCTTCACCCAGTGATACCCAGTTGGCTTGGTATCTGTTTATTTGGACCAGTAGTTCTCAACCTAAAGGTATTCTGTCCCAGAGATTTCAAATGCAGGAGAAATCTTCACCTTAGAGAACATACAACAATGAATTGTTTTTTTTGTTTGTTAAATTGTTGTGGTTTTTTTTGTTTTATCTAAACTCAATTTGTGGATAAATATCTACCTGTATACTACGTGCAAAATGCATTTGAGCCTACATATTCCTAGTTGGATCACTTAGATCTTGTTTTGGGCAAGATTTGGGGTAATTGCACACTTTGTTTATCTCGTAACATTGTTTCTACCTTACACAACCCAAGCCAGACTAAATGTCATTCTTAGAAGCACAATGGGGCAGTTCGTCTGTATAACTTCTGGCGAGCCCTTGCGGCTTTTGTTTGTGTGGCCTTTTACAAAATTTGGTGCAACACTCAACAGATTATTCCAGCTTGAGGTTTTTGTATTGCAGGTATTTATTTGATGATTTGTGGTTAATTATATCAGAGCAATTTATGGGAGTAGCCTGCACATCTCTGCAACCAAATACTAGCGACTGGTTAAGAATTACTCTGTAATTATTGTCACAAGTTAGTTTTCAAGGAGGTGAGAGGAGGAGGAGGAGGAAGAGAGAGGCATTTGCTCTGCTGTTGCTCTCTTCTCAGTTGGAGTCACAGAGAGGGTATCCACAGCTTGCAGGAGGAAATGGTGATGCCATTCTTATCAGCATTTCGTACTCGAAGGCTTACATTTGATTTTCAAATGTATGCATGGAAACTGCAATTAGGCAACCTATTTAAAAAAATTTGCACCTGTCAGCTGCCATGTCATGAGCTTCTGTGCAGAAGTGAGGACTGTTCCTTCACTCTGATATACTCCTTGTGTACTCCTGTAATAGTCATACATCCCACACTATAATGGTGCTCTTGTTTGGATTTTATGACAGAATAATCGTACGCGTATGAAGGCGTTATCCTTTTTTTGTTTGGCTGTGCCCTTTCCTCTTTTCCAAGTGTCTGGCTACCAGTGGCTTCCAGCAGCCAAATCTGTCCTCGCAACCCAGGGTAAAATACCAACTTCGCTTTTCTCGATAGTCAAAACGATGGCTAAAATTTCCCTCGTCAGGGCTCAGAAGCTAGTTCATAAAGTCACTTTTCTTTCTTTCTTTCTTTCTTTCTTTCTTTCTTTCTTTCTTTTTCTTTTTCTTTTTCTTTTTCTTTTTTTGACTTTTTATGAAGTTGAGAAATGGGGATTTTTTTTCTTCTTTTTTCCGCAATTGTCTCTTTGCATGTTATCACCTTAATCTCTGTTATTGCATACATTCTCTTCCATTTCCTCTTTCATTTTTTTCTTTTTTTGTGCCCGACTGCTCATGCATGTAGATGTTTGAAGAGTAAATAACAGACGTTCTCTGCATACATTAACTGTGACAGAATATGACGGAGCAACAGCTCCTGCTTGCTGTGCCCTGGCAAAGGGCAAAAAGGCGACTAATAAGCAAAACACTGAAACCAAAAAAAGGGGAGAAAAAGATAAATTTCAGCTTAACTACTAAAGCAAAGTTGTAAGGAAGTGCGCAGTTATTGTTTCTTGTTTGGACTAAGTTTTCCAACTTTTGTAAAAGTGTACTGTCCCGGCTGTATTTGCCATCTTTTTGTTTTCTTTTGGAGTAAGTGATTTGACTTCCTCGTGTCGAGTAGGAGAAGTGTGCAGTTTCAGTGTTTCTTCTCTTAGTCCATTATGGTTCGGGGTTTTCTTTCAGTGGGTTTGGCAAAGTGATAATGAGGATGTGCGTACTCATGCAACTACGACTCTCATTGTTGTGATGGCAGTTGTGTAGCACTGAATTACAAAAAAAGCAATACTGTCATAATGAAAGAACTGTGTGTGTCTTTAATGATGAAAGCAGGCTTTTTAGGCACAAGCTTTGGTAATTTCTGTGAATTTGTTAAACCAATAGTAAGTCCTGTCCACAGACCTTCCTCAGTCTGCTACAGTACTTTCAGTAGGAGCAAGAAAATGATGGTTCATGGGTGGCTTCCACACCACCTGTTTTTCTTGTCATGTTCTTTATGAACGTGTTATGCAAAAAAACAGTTAGACCTTCATATAGCTCCAGTATATGGGAATGTTCTAATTAAAACCTCTTGTGTACTAGATTTTTTTTTCAAAATAATTGGATCTATAATCTCACCTCTCAGTGTTGTCTGTGGTCCACTGGTAGCAAATAGACATCAGTGATTAAATGGAAACTTTCCTGTGACTATTTTATAACACCTAAACCTAGGAGCAAAGTTCAATTTTATGGCATGGCGCTCTTGGCCGTAACGACAACATGGAAAATATTTGTATTAAAGCAAGCTAGATCTTGAATGCAATCACACAGGAAATCAAACAGCAAGAATGAAATAATTAAACAGTCCGGCAACCTAGAAATCTCATCAGTCATTTGAGAATCAGTTTGTTTTTCTTGTTGTGTTTCTGATCGCCTTGAAACTGACCTTCAAGCAACTGCTGAGATATTGGCTTTGTTGCAGACTTAAGCATCTTAATCAGATTATTTTGATTTCTTTAGTTTTTGTGTGTAGAAAAAAAGCTGACCATCCCTATAAAAATCTGTTGTTGCCTCTGAAATGAATGTGCTGGATCTTTTGAAGGGGTTAGCAATAGGGTTGCCACGATTAGTCGACTAGTCACGATTACGTCGACTATTAAAATCGTAGACGACTAATTTAATAGTCGACGCGTCGTTTGAAGCTTTTTAAGATCCCAAAAGACGCAGGAATAAGTAGTAGTATTTAAGAGTGTAATAACGGACTGAAACAGAAGATGGCAGCACTGCATGTACAAGGATGCCAGCTGCCGTTAAACCCCGAAGAAGAAGAAGCTGTGTCCCAGAATTCATAGCGTGGCCCAGCGCATTTGTCAACAATGGCGGCAGCTAGTTAGTTTTAATATTACTCTTATTATTCTTTTTGGGTCACAAAATAAAGTTTAACATATTTTCAGGCGAGAATGTAGCTGTGTAAACCTCAAATATCTGCTCAGTTTATCAAGACGCCACATATTTTCAAAAGCGCTCCGACGTTTTCTGAGATGTCTGTTACCCACCAGCTCGATAGTTAGCCGGGAGCAAGGCTCACTAGAGCCCGTGAGAACACCGGACTCCCGGCAAATCGTTTTCAACAACTGATTATGAGAAGTGTGAGATGCTCGAGAGTATACTCCGCTGTCCTGTTATATTTTAGATTTTAAGGAGCAGACGGCTGAGTTTATTAAACTCCACCGAAACAATCTGCAGATGTCATTAAAATTTAATAAACTATCATCTTGTCTTTATTTTTAGTTAGCGCATACCTTAAACACTTCAAGCTGTAAGCTAATGATAGTTATATAAGAGCAGATGCATGCTGGTGCAATAAGCTGTATGTTTTACGTCCAATGGATGCATGATCTGATTAGTCGACTAATCGCAGAAATAATCGGTGACTAGTCGACTGTCAAACTAATCGCTTGTGGCAGCCCTAGTTAGCAACATATATAACAAGTGCTGTTTCACACCATTTCCCTGGGTATGGAAAAGTTGCCAAACAATCTCCAGCTTTCATTAAAAATGCATGAGAACATTGATTTTACTCTCAGATAATACCCTAAAGAAATAAAATGAACTGAAATGTGTGTAGGCTGACTGATTTGGGAAGTATAGAGATGAGCGTTTCTGTGGAAAATGTTCTTTTCCCCCCTCTCTCCTATCAGAGAATGTAAGGATGGGAATTTTTGCAGGTCCTAGATTTTTGATTTTTCCAACTTGTGTCCTTCTCAAACCTCTGCCACAAGTAGCTTGTTTAGTTCTATTGTGATGGCATTTTTGAGGATGTAGGAAGAGTTGAAATGAAGCCAGTATCTATTTTATATCTACTACTGTCCAGTTTACAAATAATCGGCGGTTTTTACTGAAACAATAACAAGGTCTTCTGCTTCATGGCAGTACTTCCCCATATTTAGATTTTGTTCATACTGACTCCTAGCAGGTTTAGGAACCATGACAGTACACAAAACCAAACCAAGAGCAGCTTTATTAAACTGCACTGCTGTGTGTTGGAGTTCCTTCTGCTTTGTGAACTTAGATTAGTCATTGGGAAATCCCCTGGAGCTCTCAGAATCTGTGAGGTAATCTGAAAGTGTGTTGCACTGTTGTTTTAAACCCAAGATTTCTTGGATGTGGCCATCATTTTACCTGGTGGGTAGGCCAGCTAGAACAAGAGCTGCCAATTTCAGGGTGTACATGAAGAGGTGTAGGCTGCTAAATTAGGTTGAGTCTAAGGAAATGGATCCTTTCTTCCACAGAGGTATTAAGCTCTGAC